CAGACAAACTACGCAAGGAACACAGCACAACAAAACAAAATATCCCGTCTAAAAGTGTGCTTAAATATTTAAGATGCTGCGCTGCGACGTTGCCAGACTCAAAGTTGTTTTCTTTATTTTTTCTTTGGCGTTGGAAAAACATTAAAACGCATTTAGCAGGCTCTTTTCCACTATGTACATAAAAAACCGAAAGAAACGAAAAAAATGTGTTGCCTACATTTTCGGGCATATAAATACTTATTATCGCTTATTTGAACTTGCAAACGCGGCGGCTGCTGCTTTTGTTGCTGCTGCTGAGGCTTGTGATTTAGTTTTATTTGGGCAAAAGTGTTTCCTCAACATTTTCGCTCTTCCGCTGTGCGTGGGCTGCTGCGTATGTGTGTGAAAATCGATTTTTTGTTGTCAGAAAAAGAAGAAAAAGAAAAGGTCAAAAACAATAAAAGCCTAAATACACATACGCGCCTTTGAACTGGCTTTGATAAAAGCAGCAGCAAGCAGCACCCAAAAACAGAGCAAAACTGGGGACCACACCAGAGAAATATAAAGATTTTCGGGAATTGTGTGGGTGGAGTAAGGCCGTGTAAACCTCCAATCAATGGCTATACGTCGCTTTTGGTACGTGTGAATTTAAGCTGATTAAAGAATTTGGGATTGAGCAGGGGGCTGGAAGCGAGCAGATGTACACCAAGAAAGAATGAAGCAGCAGCAAAAACAGAAATTGATGTCTGCTTTTAGGCGCTGCCCTTAGCCTCTTTGGCCCTTATTTATGCCTTTTGTCTGTATGCGGCTTTGTTATTGGGCTTAGTGGCAAATTTTTTAATTTGCGCCGCCCGCTTTTAGCTCGTCGGCCGAAGCCAATCATCTTGCGCCAGACAAGTTCCAATCTACTCGCTAAGCATATACCACACATAGCACAATATAAATTCAATTGAATTTGTCGCCTGCTTTCTCTTTTTATTGCGTACATTCAACATACTTAAAATATACTCACAGACATTCCGCTGTGTTGCACGCTAATAAGCCAAGTTTTTCGTTGGCCGTAAAAGCCGCCGAGCAGTGCCAGGTAAAGTGTCGATAATGAAATTGGCCAGCGTCAGCCTAGCCGAAAAGTAGGCAACACAAATTGGCGCCAATACAATTCAAATGCGTAATCATGCGAATTGGCAACAGCAGCAGCAGCCTTCACAGATATCGACAGATGGAGGGGCGGCGCTTGGCATAGGAAAACTGTGCACAAATGAGAAAAGTTTTTGCAGCCAACGCTGCGTATTATTATTATTAGTTTTTCGCCTCCCACGCTGCCCGAGAAAGTTTTGCGCCTGTCGCTTATTAGAAGCACGTTGTTGTTGTTGTTCTTGTTGTTAGGGTTAGTTTCTCTGTATTCGGGCTTTTTCATAGTTCATTGCTTTTCAATTTGATGAGGCGTTGTCTGTAATAATCAGGCTGCCTGCGCAGCCAGAAAATGAGCCGCTCAAAGTTTTTTGTTTTGTTATCGATAAGAAAATCGAAAGGCGAATGGCGAATTTTCACATACGTTTTCCGACTGACTGACTGATGGATGGACTGACAAAGCAATTGTATATTTAATTTTCTCTCTCTTTATGCATCGCTCTCTCTCTCTCTCTCTCTCTCTCTCTCTCTCTCTGCTTTTGTTAATTTACTTTGTAATTTATCAAGGCAATGTGTGTGTGTGTGTGTACGCATATTTTTATGGAGTTGATTTTTAATCTTTTGCAATCATTTTTGGGCACAGCGCGGCAAAGGAAATGAATATTTATAAGTATGATGAATGAGCCAAGACGGAAAGCAGGCAGCAGTCAGCTGATTTACTGACGTATGACACACGAAACGCACACAAATATGCACATACACGAACACACACCCAGGCAGAAGCAGCTCAGGATAAAGGTAAGGAAATTAATGCGCATTTAGAAACATAAATCTGTGTTGCGCTCAAGGAAATGGCACGGATTTCACAATTTATTTATGTACGAGAGAGAGAAAGAGAGAGAACTTGTAAAAGAGAAAGAATGAGATATAGAGACAGCTTGTGTCAGTTCTTTGCCACGCACACACACACACATTGCTTGAGGAACGCTGCGTATGAGTAATATTAATTTGACTTTAAGTCGCTCGCTCGCCCGTTCACTCGCTTTGCTCAATTTGCCCAAGCTGTGTGAGTGTGCGTGTGTGTGTTTGTGTGTGTGTGTGGGTGGGGGGCGTGCAGTTTAAAAATACGCAACGCAACGTAACGTCAACGTATGCAATTTACGTGACATCATTACGTGTTAGACAAGTACAAATTACGCGTAAAAGCGAGAGACGTAAACGAAGACGCAGATGAAGACGAAGACGAAGCTGGCGACAATATGAGTTTGATAATGATGAAACATGAACGTGTATGTGAGTGTGTATTTGTGAGAGAAGGAGAATATCAAGATAAATAACTAAACGTGTGCATTCGTATGTGTGTGTGTCTATGTGTGTGTGTGTGTGTGTGTCAGGGCAAACGAAATGAAAGTCATCAGACTTTAGATATGGCACACAGAAAATTGCGTATGCGACACAGACAAAAGGCAAAGGAAAATGTGCAACAATCTTAGTCTTTTTCAAAAGAGAAAGGACGGGAAGCGGTCAGCATTCACTTGAGTTAAAATTGATAAAATTGCAGAAGAAGGGCAATAACGAGCAAGTCTTTTGAGTTGGCCAAATTCAGAGCACAATACCATTTGGTCTGATCACGCGTAAAATTAGGCGTGCACATGTTTTCTGCTTGATTTGACTTTAAATAAATTCAAGTGGCTTAAACGAAAAACTACAATAACAACAAACTGCAAATGTCAGCGCTAAAGTTGCAGCCGACTTTAGCTGAGCTCTCAACCAAGCAATTAAACTTGTCCTTGTATAATTGCATTTGGCCTAGGCTTTTGGGCCTGAACAAAAGCCAAAGTCAAAAGTCGGAAATGCTGTTGAGTTGCCAAGTGCGTTGCTGATAGCGGCCAGAAAGTTGAGAGCTTTAATTTCTTGGAAATTTGTTGGCCAAAAAGTAGCAGCAGTCGCAGCAGCAGCGACAGCACTCGCAGTAGCAGAGACGAAATACAAACAAAGCAACAAACAAAAATGTCGACTTGATTGCGTTGCTGATGGGCCGGGTCGGGAACTGGCCCTCAACACCAGACCTGCTGCTCCTAGCTAGCAGTGACAGTAAAGAGCAGCAGCAGCAGCAGCAGCATCCAGAGCGACACAATTGTGCGGACAGATTGCCGCCGCGTTGCCAGCGCTGCAACTTGAAGTTTGAATCCCCAGCGGATTAGAAAAGTTTAAATTGTTGCCGCCAAGCGCTCCAAGAGCTCAACGGAGCAGAGCCGAGCCAAGCGAGCTGATGGAGAAATCGAAGCAACTGGCAAATGAACGTTGAATGAATGAAGGGAGCAACGTAACGATTAGTGCTTTCATGTCCTTTGGCAAAGTTTAAAGGTCATCCGTTTGTATAGCTGATGGCATCCTTCGTTTCGAGTCCTGCTGCTCTGCGTTGCTCAACTCGCCTTCTGCTGATTTGACACATCAACTTTGTCAAGTTTTTGCCACAGCGACGGACGACCGTCCACCGACCGTCAACGTTGACTCTTATGAGCAATGGCTCTGCATTCCCTCTTTCTTGCCATATCTCCTATTACTTTTTTCTTTCACTCTGTGTGTGTGTGTGTGTGTGTGTGTGTGTGTGTGTGCACAAGCAATTTGTGCATTGGACATTTTGGGCGCTGTGCTGCTTTGATAAGCGTTGCCAGCTTGAAAATGTCTTAAAAGATTGCGCGGAGTGCACTGACTTTTGTGGCAGCCACCTGCCCCTCGGGCAACTCAATTTCGTGAGCATACTCTTTGCCCAACCAATTTCGAAACGTATGTGCGCTGTTTGTTCGCTTACGTAATTGCTTACGTTACGTAGGCATAACGTCAAATCAAACTGCAGCTGCGCATAAAAGCATGCATCTGTAACATAACTGTGACAATAGATCTGCTTACGTTTTTGCTTACGTGACGTAAGTTATTACGTTATATATGCATTAAGGCATTTAGATGACATGTTTCATATTTTTCTACCTAGCTTTGCAACTCTCTTAAGTACAGTTTTCTGTTTATAATATTAAATTTAAATTCTTCCAATATGTTTAAAAAAAATGAAAAAAAAAACAAGCCACCATTTTGCTGCCTCATGCATAATGAGCTTGTCAATAAGTTTATCAATGCAAGAACTACTCGAGAAATGACCCAAAAAGAAAAATCAAGTGCTGTGTAAATTATGCAAATCTTTGCCCACTTTTTGTACGTATTCCAAAAGGTTTCGAGGGCTTCGGCATGGGGGCTGTGCTGTCAGAAACAAGCGTGAAACATGACAACAGCGGGGCAGCCCAGTAAAAACAATATGGCGCCCTGACCTGGGCAGGGCAGAGCAGAGCAGAGCAGAGCTCCCTTGTCCGGCAACCATTGCCTGCCATTGACAGTTCCACGTTGTTTTGCTATAACTTTTTTCACCCTCCATTTTCTAAACCAGTGCTGTGTTTTCTTTATTTCTTTTTTTTTCATGATTTTCTCTTTTCCATTTTTTTTAAATGTCAAATTTTTGCAGACAGTTTTGACAGTTTATCGAAGCACACCCGTAATTTCAGCTGACGTGTGTTGTAGGTGTTGAAAGGAGGGGGAGGAGGAGGGAGCAAGGCTCAAGTTTGGGTTCGTGTTCGAATTCAGCACATACTTAGACAAGGTGTGAATAGAAAGTTTCGTTGACGCTGCACTTTTGCCCAGGAACCGAACCCAAGAAAACTTCCATAAAGACGATGGGTCAAGTTTTGGACGGTTAAATGTGTTTGGCAGTAAAGTAATTATATTTCTGGGCACCTATGGCGACTTGATTGGTGAGCGGCAAATTGAATTGCCAAATGGAAAAGTGAAATAAAATTATATAGTATTTGTCGGTCATAACTTTGGATTTGATTACTTACCGCTGCGACTTTCATTTTCAGCTGGCTTCAGCTGTAAAGCACGGTTCATCTGCAAAATAGAGAATAGAGATGTCATGAAAAGTTTGCTTACAAGTTTGTTGCTCAATTTAATTTATAAACAAGTCACTTTGACACTTGTGTATTCGATTTTTCTATTTAATGATAATCAACTTGCTTTTCTGTTCCAAAAACACGTCAATTACTCAGCTCTTGAGCACTAAAAATCCCATTATCAAATTCATTTTGGCAATTCTACCATCAACTTTCGATGATGTAGCACTCTTCATAAACACCTTCAAGCCTCGTCCACAGCACAGAGCAGTTTCAAGCATTTAAATGCCACTCAATATGCAAGCCCATCTTTTGGCTGCTCTGTCTCTCACTATCCCTCTCTCTCTTTCTCCCTCTCTCCATCTCTCTCTTTCTATGGAACTCTCTGCACATTTGCGCTCATTGCCTTTTACCCACGACTGGGCAGCCACATCCTGTGCCGCTTCATGCATCATTAAAGCTTAAATCTCACCCAAGCGACCCATGTCGACTGGCGGGCAACACTTAACGCCCATCTACATCCACATCGACATCCAACTCCACCTTCATATGAACCGTGAGCAACCCCAACGGATGGCAGTGACTGTAGCTGGGCTACGTGTTGTGGTCACCTTTTGGTTTATGGCAAATGAGTAATATGGGAGCCATACGAAAAATGCCATTAAAAGACGTTGAAATGAAATACATTAAAATAAAACTTAATTGAAGGCTTTATGCTGTGGCCGTTACCGCAAAACCGAGCAAATCAATAACCAAGACCAAGACCAAGACCAAGACCGAGAGAGACACCCATTTGATGATTGCCTTTTTATATAAACCAGGTGTCATTTTGGTCGCTCGGCCTTAGATGGGCCCATCACAGTCATTAGTTCGGCAATGCTTGTCGGAGGAGTACGTCGTCGACGCCGACGACCTGGTTGATTGCCCGATTGCCCGGCCGTATGGTTATCCAGCTGTCTGTTTGCCTGTCGCATGCATATTTTATAATCAGCCATTAGTTTGCGGCAATTGAAAATGATTGTAGCTTTTAACTGCAAAATTCAATTGCTTTATGTGGCACAAGCTCGACGGCGTGTCGTAAAATATTTAATGTTCTAGGCGGCTGCAAATAGAGTTTTGCTAGTTAGTAGTAGTATGTCGGGCTAGTAACTCTTTTTAGTTGGTAATTCGGCTACCGTAACACACAATCCATTAGTCGAGCAAGTAATTAAAATTGCGATTTATGCATGCGCATGAACAAGGCCCCAATTTGGGCGCCCGCTTGTTTGTAATTCAATTATGTTAATGATTGGACAACATTTACCGTATTTACATTAATGCATAATGAATGAACAGAAGGTCTGCACGAGCACTCTCTGCCCTCCCTTTACAGCTGCTGCTCTAGTCTGCTCAGCTCGGCTCTGTTCCTGACTGGACTCTGCCATGTGCGCCTAAATGCATGCTGCGTTTTATTTTGGCTGGCTGATTTTTTAATTGTAATGCCAACGCTAGAGTGGGCCTATGGGAGGGGGAGCTGTGGCCGGAGCTGTCGCACTAAACAGTCAACGAATGGGCGGCTGTGATGGCAATTAAGTGCATTTCTCTGTCTGACCAAAGGCATGCCGGCCACGCCTCATTGCCCACATCCACGCCGCAATTGGCGTCGAGCATAAATTCGCTTTTGCCTTTACTCAAAGCTCAGCTGGATAAATTAAGTGGTCGATGAACTGAAGCCTTGTTGATTTTGTATACAGCGACGCCAATGCCGCCATGTTGTTGACAGTGACAGGATGCAGGAGGATTCTTGTTGTTTTTGTTGTTGTTGATACTAGGACTGGGTCTGGGACTGGGACTAGCGCTGGCACTGGCACTGGCGATGACGCCGCAAAATTTAAACCAATGTTTAACCAAAAATGTTCATTTAGTCGCACGTTCGTTGGGTACGTTTCTGCGGTCTGAATTGGTCGGGATTGACAACGTTTGGTTACGTTGGATGGAGGCGGTGCAAGCTACGAGTCGGCGTCTGTGGCTGGTAAATGATTGATGTGGCCGGGGTAATAAATTGGAAAACGTTTCCCAGCTCAAGCTCATGCCCACACACAAGACCATCTTGGCCAGAGCGTGCAGCTAAACTCAACTCAGCTCAGCTCTACTCTGCTCTGCTCTGAGGGCTGCCATTGTATGCAATGCTTTTTGCAGCTTGTTGCCGCCTGCTCCTGCTTCTGCCTGCTGCTGCCTGCTGCTGCCTGCTGCTTTTGAATGCTTTATCAACGCCAACACCCGCAGCTGCTGCTGCACAGCATGCAAAAAACCAACACTGAAATGCTCACATATTGAGCCATGCACATGAGTCTGAAGTCCGAACAGTTTGAGGCAGCATAATTGTCTGGCTTCTGTGTGCAGTTTTTCATGCCCTGATATTGTGCATTTTTGATTGCAGTCGTTGGTTAATGAACTCAATGTACGATCTGAGGTCTATTTGACCTCAATTTGTTGGAGTTTTATAAACTGTTAGGCTTAACCAAGGAATTTATTAAATATCTTAAACTCTAGATTAATTAATCAATAAAATAGCGAACAGGCTAACAGTCAGTGAATAGCCTGCCAATAGAGTAACTTAACTGAAATAACATTGCTAAGGCATCTCAAATACCACAGACTCTGCTGTTACTTCAGCTGCGGCTGCTCGTTCTGTTTGCTGACTGCAGGCTTTGTGTTCGCTTGGCACAAAGGCCTTGCTAATTATGGGTAGCAGAAAGGTTTCCCTCTGTATGTATGGCTGTGTGTGTGTGTGGTAGGTTGCGTAATTAGCGAACATAATTTGAAATTTAAATGTAGCCAAAAGCCAAAAATGCGTAGCAACCCACATCTTTGGGAAGCCTTTCAGAGTCAAAATGTTAATTAAATCTTTTGCTGGCGAGTACGAAAAAAAATAACTAAATAAAAATAAAGACCAACAAAAATGTTTTGACTTGGCCCTAAAGATGCCTCAGCACACAATTAGCCTTATGACAAAGTGTTGAGCCGTTGACAAAGAGCAATAGCAGCGAGGGCCATGGAGTCTAGGCTAGTCGGGGGTGGGTAGGGGTGGACAGGGCAAGTCGGCGCCACTGGCAACGTAAACCGCAAATTTTAGCGCCTCGACAAGTCGTGCATGACATGGCGGACTAGTCCAAGCGACGCCGCCTACGCGTATGCAATGCCAAAAGTGCCAAGTGCCAAGTGCCAAACTGCCAAGCACTATGCGACTGTCTATGTCTGTGTAAGTGTTTGTGCGCCTGTGTGCGTGTCTCTGTTTGTGTGTGTGTGTGTGTGTGTATTGGGTGCATGAACCCCACATAAACTGCGTTAGTTTATGATGCCCAAGCGCGCTAAGTGAGCAAAGAGGAGAAGCCAGTCAAGCCGTAAGTGCCTACATCTGCATCCCTCGAGCCCGCACTCGCTGCAATTAGAATGCGGCGCCGTCTATTGAACCAAGCCAAGTCAGGGCTGCCCAACTACGCCCACTGCTTTGAGCCTTACTTTTGCCGTCTCTCTCCCTCTCTCTCGCTCACTGTTTGTCTGTCTCTGTCGCTCTGGTCAGTTGCGCATTGTTGTTTTTATGCATTCGCCAACTCAACTACATAAAATGGAACAACGAAAATGCAATTAAAACTACGTTTTATGGCTTTGTTATGGCAGCAGCAGCAGCAGCAGCAGCAACAGCGGCTAACAGAGAGAAATCCGCCACATGAAAAGCGATTTTTATTATGCTTTCGACAACGAGAACTGCCATCGTGATGATGATGATGATGTTCGCGATGATCATTCTCGTACGTAGTTTGGAAAATGGTTTCGAATTGAGTGCGCTGCAAGTTTCTGTTGATAGAATCGTAATACTCATAGCTTGTGCTCTAAGCAATGTTTGCTTATTGAAAACGCAGCTCGCCCCTAGTTTATTATATACGATACGGGTGTTTTTTTGTTGTTTTCTTTAGAAATTTATCAAAAATCATCAAAAGTTTACGCAAAAGTTTTTTGTGTGCAGCTGCTGATAGAGAGTTGAGAGTTGCGCTCAACAATTTTTGTCACTGGCAAAGGCAGCAGGCATCGGGCATCAGGCTGCTGGAGGCATGTGGGCGTGTAGGCGTGTGGGCGAGGGGAGGCACCTAAAAGCAAAGACAATGTTGCGCCTCAAGCGTGCAACGGCAAAACAAACTAACGAGCTAGCAAGCAAAACAATAGCATGTAGCATGCTTTTAGGGGCAGACTTTCCCCTTTTACTCTCTCCCTCTCTCTCTCTCTCTGCTTCTTACTCATTGCCTGGTTTACTCCCGTACTGTCTGTCTTTTCGTAACAACCTGCCATAACTGTAGCTTAATCAAAAGTTTTTGCACTGCTGTTAGGGCGCTAGCTGCAGGGCAACGGCGACTATCAACCGCAACTAACACTGGGGCAGGCACAACTACACACTATATCATCCACATCCATATCCACATCCACATCCTTGGCATCCTTTTGATACTAATCAGTGGTGCTTCTCATGCGAGGCTGCTTTTTATGTTCGTTCTCACCCACGTTGCACGTTTGTTGTGGCTGCAGCGCTCGCTTCGCTCAATGGGCAACTACTTTTTTCACTCTTCCTCCCTGTCTCTCTGGCTCTTTTATATATCTTTGATATATGAAATATAGCAGCTGTATATAATGGTCGCCATGCTCGTGTTTGCAATTAGCAAGTGGCAATTAAAGTTGGTCTGGCAGGCCAAGATACATTGAGCCATTGGCATTGAGCAGCAGCAGCCAAAGGCATAACTGCAATCTTTATTAATGCCATATTGTGGCGGCAGACAATTGCTTGACCATTATCTAGACACGTATATACTGTTGCTGGAGACAAAAGAAGTCCTAATAGATACTTTGTATTTGAAATATTATTTTATACATATTTTTTAACTTTTTTTTCCAGTTTGTTTTTAAAGTTAAATGTGAAAAAGCTTATAGGTGCGACTGGGGTTGAGAAGTGTGTAAATTCTTTTAATATCTTAAACATTTAACACAGATTCTACGCAAGTTAATTCATGAGAATGAATGCTATAAATGCTGAAGAAAAAATGCCTTAAATAATATTCGCTCATTTTAAAGAGCCCCCAAAATTGCGCTATAAATATTGAGCAGTGTTTTTTTAGCACACAGAGCCACATATACGCACTCTCACACACACACATAGATATACAGAGCACGCAGATTACGCAAGCGAAATCAATATTATTTTATGTCGTCCTGAAATGACAGCCCACATGTGCCCAAATCTTGTCATAAAGTACGTATGTCTCGTCCAGGGCTGTGTATCTTTAGCTTGTTTTGCTAATTCCCAATTCGACTGCCTATATTTATATTTACTTTAATAAACATATTCATATACATACATGTCTAGCTAATAAATTAGGCGAACTAATGTTTTGTCAGACGCCGTCGTGTCGAATGGCCTCTAATTAATGGCAAACCTTTCAAAGGGCTACACCTTGGTTTTATGCCTTGGCTTGGCGCAAGTATTTCTCATATATACATTTGCGGACAGGACTCCGTGTCCTGGTTGGGTGGGTCATTAGCATGCGTTAAAATGCCGTTAAATGTGTAACGGAAACTCGACGCAAGGACATGCCATATAAATTTTGTTTTTCTTTCAGTTCTTTCTGTTTTATTATGTTTGTTGCTTCGTCGCCTCGCATAATAAAAATGTCATAAATATTTCGGTCGTCCTTCTGCTGCTTTTGCTGCTGCTGCTGTTAATTTTTTCTAATTGTCTAAAATTTAGATAATTACATGCCATTAATTATTTACATAATAACGATTTTTTTTCGGCTTTTTGTCGTCTTTTTTTTCTTTTTGCTTCACAATTTTGTGGTCGACTTGGCCGGCCCATACATACGTATATATCCAATATATTGCTGGTATATGCGGGGCGTAAAATTAAATTTACATAATTTATGACTTACTCAGCTCAAAATGTGTGAGTGTGGGTGTGTGTTTGCGGCATGTGCCGTGTTGCATAATTTTAGGCATTTTTGTTTATTGTGGCGTAAAATTTGAATTATGAATAGGAATACACTCACACTCACACTCACACACACACACCGACACAGCAAGCACGTAAACTGTTTGCTGCTGTGGATATATGTATTTTTTCCCGTGTTAGGGTTACATTCTGGGGTTATTAGTAATTTATTTGCATATTTTGAGGAGCGGGCGAGCTGTGGGCGCAGCAGGCAGCTGATGGACACGCAGGGAGCGCTGCCTCTGGCATTTGAGTTGCCTCTGTCTTTTGTGTCAACTTGGCCGGGCACAAAAGTCAGTCAAGTGTCGTTTTCGGAAGACATAAATTTTGAGCCGGGTGGCCGGAGTGAGCAGTGTGAATGGGCGTACGTATGTGTGTGTGTGTGAGCTCTGCACCAGGACAGGTGTCCTGGATGAAGGCAAATATAATTGAATAGCGGAAAAGGTTTCACATGGATTTAAAATGGCGTGTGTCTGAGGCACAATGGAGCCAAGGGAACTGAAGCAAATGAAACGCGCTTAGTTGGTTTTATTGCTGAATGGAATCGGCAGCACAAAAAGCTATATAAAAGGAGGCTTAAGAAGTACAAGAAAAAGCTTTGAACACGCCCACAATTATGAATTGCAAGATCAGAAAAAAAAATAAAAAATTACCAATAAAGTAAGTAAAAAAGTTCTGCTTGAAATTAAAATTTATGCATACCTTAAGCTCAGTTTGATAACAGTTCGATTATCGATGCGTCGAATATTGTTTTAGATTTATTTAAAGCCCGCATGTGTAATTCTGCTTGCCAAGCTAGAAAAAATCTTAAGCATGCCAGGGTACATCATTGATTGGTTGCCTAGTCAAAGCAACATTTAAAGCATACCTTTTTGAGCTGAAGCCCACTCAAAGCGGCTTATATAATGGCCAATACAACATTTTTGTTGCATACCAGCCGGCGCACGCAAGAAATGCTTATAAATTACATAAGGCTGAATGCGAGGGAGGGAGAAAGAGAAAGAGAACGAGGAAGAGTGAGAGTGAGAGTGGCTGCTGTGCCTTCTCCAACAAAGCACTCAACTGTGAAAATGTCTGTTAAGGCCAACACACACAGACACACACACACACAATCACGCACACACGCACGTGAACAGCCTCCACTCATGTGTGTCCTATATAGGGCTACCTTGCTGTCAACAGGATGACAGTTCATATGGTATATGGAGATACATGTATACATATATATAGAAATATCTATATATATATATATATATATATATATATATATATATATGTATGTATATATATAGCATGCTAGAGGAGCCATAGCCATGCCTTTAACTGTCAATTGAGTTGGCATGTTGGCAGTCTCTTGACTTATGTTCAATATGAAATGCGCATAAGCACACACAGATACCAGCACACAGAAACACACACGCACGCAGACTCATACACAAGCGTAGGCCCAACATATTGCCAAGTCAGCCAAGTTGTAGGCGCCTTTCTAATGCCTGGCACGTATTTTAATTGATTTGTGCGCGCAGCAGAAGCAGCTCATTACATGACCAAAGCTGCGCCCGGGCTACAAATTGAAAAACACCATGCGAAAATAAATATAACAAAAAAAAAAATCTATCTATAAAAAAATAAATCACTTTCAACAGCGTTTCAGGCAATGCAAACAAACAAATAAACAAACAAACGGGAGGCAGGAGGCAGAAGGTAGCTGGAGCAGAAGGATACTCGTGTAGTCGTGTATTTGCTCAACGAGTTTGATGTCTGATGATGATGCTCCATTTATTATTAACTTGAAATGATTTCGGGCTGGCCGCGTGGAGGTGACGACGCAGCGATTGAATGCACGACTGCATCAAATGGCAACTTCTCCCTCTCTCTCTCTTTCTCTCTCTCTCTCTCTCTCTCACTCTTACTCTCTGCAACTCTCTCTCTCTCTCTCTATCTCTCTCTGTGTATCCGTATCCGTATCTGTAGCCTGTGCCTGTGTATTTCAATCTGCGTGTGTACACACGTGTGAGTTCAATTGGAAAATCGTGTGCTGCATACGCTGCATGTTGTTTTTGTAAACAGCAGCGCGCACATATCTCAGCGCAATGCGAGCCCTGCCTGCCAGTGTGTACACACTTTAAGATACAGATGCGTCGCAAATTTACATATATATCTGCGTTTAATATTTAATATTAAATTTTGTTGTGCCTTAAAGAAAAACGAGACGCTATAGTAGCTGCATTCTAATCCAGTTTATCATAATTGACATTTATTATTTTTACTCTGAATTTGGCACTACATCGCATCGGTATTTATTTGGTTTATAAGATTGAACAGGCTATACCACATGTTCCCTTGTGCGGCATGTGCATACATTTTAAGAGGGTGCACCCGTTGCAAAAAAAAAATAAAAGAAAGACTCTTTAGCTACGGCCGTTTGTCAGCTTTTGCCACTTGACAGTCGCCCCGAGGCTTTGAGGCTCTTTTGCTCCTCCCTCGGGCATTGCAAATTTATGCACACAACTCCCGCCCCCCCTCTAACGGCCAGCCATCCGTAAAGTCCTTAGCTCTTTGCCATTTAGCCAACCCCAAGTGCAATCTTCTGGGTGCCCCATTCGTGCTCCTTTGGTCTCTTTCTGCGTCTCACTCATATATCAAAGTTGCGCCAAATGAAAAGCGACAGTCGACAGTTCAGAGTTGAGACTCAAGAATCGTTGCCGCCTGCCTTGCAATTTATAAATTGCAAACAAAAAAAATAAGAAAAAGTGAAGGAGAGTAAAATGAAACAAAGGGACAACATTTGCTTATATTTTATGCAATATGCCAACCGCGTTTTATTAAGCAAATTACGAGAAATGCGCAAACGGGCAACGAGAAACGCTCGAGTCGACCAAATCTCAACACAGGATGCCCTCAAGTCCTACTTATGACCTTGGCAAACAGCCTAACGCGCATTCTCTTAAGCAATTTAGCAAACAGACTCCACTCAAGCCGAGGCGAGTCGCGTCAACTGAGACTCACAGCTCTTAACGCACATTTTCATATATAAATTATTAATTTTGTATGCCCAACCACACACACACACACAGATTCATACACACACCCAGAAGAAACAAAGCGTGGGGGCTGTAGGCGGCGGCAATGGCGAGTAAAATGCATTTTGTGCTCCATTAAATAATAAAAGCAAACGTGGCAGATAGCAGCCTCCAGATAGCGGCCATATACGACGAGTATACACAATAAAAATCTTACACGAAGCGCATAAAAATAAACCAAAGAAAGCCCCCCTGACTCACAAAGGAAACGGAACGAATCTCAGGTCTCAGACTTGGCTGCTTATCTAAGCCCAAAGTCGAAAAAAGACCCCATTGTGATTTTTAAGTTGTGTGCGTGCGAGTGTGTGTGTGTGTGTGCTTTTAGGCGAGAGTGCATAAATAAGTAAAGAAATGCCTGTCGCTTAAGATTACAGGGCAAATAAGCAGCGCTCAGGACATTTGAATGCTGCCACCGACACGCACTTACTTATTCATAGTCAGGTCTGTGTGTGCATGTGTGTGAGTGTGAGTGTGTGTGGGAAGCGTATAAAAATCAGCATAAACAGCAATTGTTATGGGCTGTGAATGGAACACGTTACAATTTAAATATTCGTTACTCGTTACTCGTGACTCGCTACCCGTTACTCGTGAGGCACAAATCAATGACATAGAAAGCTATCAGAGCTGCCAGTCAACAGTCAAGAGTCAAGAGTCGAGTGTCGAGCCAGATAAGCTCGGAGCAACACTTTAATTTAGTTATGAGTTACCAAAACTTGACTCGATACTCGAGCAGCACTTAACAGGCAACCACTTTGGTAAGTGGTGGGGGTGGGGGTGGCGGTGCCTAACACGCACGTGTCCTTGCCAATGACAAGGGAAATTTAACAACTTTCAAGTTTAATTTGCCAAAAGTAGCAATCAAGCAGGAGCCAGGCAGAAATAACAACAAGGTTAAGGGTTGAATCATTTTTTTTTTTTTAGATATGTGTCGCTGTGTGTGTGTGTGTGTGAGACAACCCTTTCGACCTAATTGCATGGAAGTTGTTACGCTGCCAGTTAAATGTAAAAATTAAAATGTATAAAATGTATATAATTTATATTAAACTTGTAGACAGAGCAGGGAGCAGCGAGAGACAGAAAGACAGAAATGTCAGTCAGTCAGTCATTCAGTCAGTCATTCAGCCAGTCATTCAGTCGGAACGCAGCCTGTTTTATGAGGTGTTAAGTGGGCTTAAATTAAAAGTCGTGTTGAGCTGGGGTATGTTGGGGGGAAAGGGGCTGCTGTGGGGCTGGTGCACTTAAATGTGTTGAAATGTTTGCGTATTTGTTCAAGTTATGGCAAAATACCGAGGAAACAGAAGCAAAACACTTGAGCCCAGGCAGTGCGACCCCTCTGTGAACCCTAACTGACAAAACGACCTCTCGAAGCCCGAAGCCCGACCCCCAACCAGAAGCGGCCTCCTTGTTGTTTCATTAGCGCGCAAAGGGCAAGAGAGAAACTTGATTTTTGTTTGTTTTGCGTCTTTACATGTGAGCCTTATAAATTTGTATTTAATAAACTTTGGAGAGTGACGTTCTGAGTGGCCCTCCTGGTCGGATTATGCGGCTGCAGCAGGCTGAGGCATTTATAAGGCGAAGCTGCGTAAGTTCGCAGCTTTCGCTTGATTAATCATGAACATTTTGTTATGTCATCATTTGTTAATAAGCTAGCGGAACTCTATAATAATAACATTACTACAAGAGCTCTTCACAATGTATCTTCCTCTATTTAAGGGAGTGTTTGCATCTAAATAATCTGTTTATCACGCCTGGTCACTTTTTGCTGACCACGTTCATTAATTTGCTGTCGCACAGCTCGTTCGGCAGCATGATAAGATATCTTTGTAATAGATAAGCAACTATTTGAACAGACACACCGTTCCAGCCTTCCAAAGGGCAGCACACGGCGCATTTCTCACAGACACCGATGGGCGCGACAATTATAGATCCATAAAATCCAGTTCCTTGTCAGGTTCTGTTCTTAGTTGTTGTTGCGACACGTGTTCGCATTTTGAGCGAACGACAGCCAATTGCTTATTAAAATAATAATATGGCCAAGAATTAAACATCAGATTGCTACCCTCGGGGGAGGCTTAAACTAACCCCCAAACATTTACATACGCGAACAGAGACTGGGACTGAGACTGGGACAATTACGATTAGAAATCCACCCTGCACATGTGGAAACTCTCAGCTGATAATGAAAACATTTGCACAATTTTCCGAGGCATTTAATGAGCAGCCCAAAAGGACACAAAGGGATACAAGAACTTCGAGAATGAAAATCTGGGGACTAGTCAAATTTTACGAGCACATAAAAGCGACGCGTCTTAAAGTTTAAAAACACAAAGAACAAGCACAAGTAAGTCGGGCGTGCCCGACTAGGATATATCCATTTCTTTCGAGTTAAGAGTTGAAAAAACCAATTCTTAAAAGTGTATATAGCTTTTGTAGGTTCTAAAATCGACCGTTTCGTACAGAGAGAAAACGACTAGATAGCTGTACATGGAGATCGACTAAGCTCGTCGGACTGCTCAAGAATATATATACTCCATGGTGTCAAAGGGGCCTTCTTCTGGCCAACATTTATTGCACTGAAATACCCTTTGCAACCATATTCAATGGGCTGAGGGCATTGAAACAAAAACAAGGCAAGCAGAAGGCGATACACAGACGAACACACACGCTGAGATGCGAATGCCTTTGATCATGAAATCATGTTGCCGTATAAAATGTAAGTTTTTTGCTGGGACTTGAACTATCGACCCAAGAGGACAACGCCTAACCAAATGAAAGGCAAATTAATACAATCTTTGGGTCTACAGTTCCCAATTTATTGACAGCCGAAGTTTGTCGGAGATCAAAAGATGTGCTACGACTTTTGCCGGCAAGGAATTTCGCCAGAGATAGTCGGGGGGTGGCGGACGGCTGGTGTTTGTCACTAGGCAAATGGACATGTACCAATTTTCTATATATGCATGTGTGTGTGTGTGTGTTTCTTGCTCAGAGCAAGCAATAAAATAAATGGCAATGAATGACTGAGCAAATGAATAAATGAGAGAACATTTTTGCTTTGAAATTCAAATTTCAAAAGTTGTCATGACATTGTGTTTATGACAGAGTCGCACACACTGCGAGTGGGCGGAGAGGTAGAGGGAGCGAGAGGGGTATACGGGCAGTTTCGGTTTCTCTCTCTCTCTATATATATATATGTCTATTTCGCTCTCTTTTGTTTTATTCTTTTTTTGGCTGCATATTTAAAATTGAATATTTGCACGCCTTGAGCATTCGAGATTACAAAGATCTACTTCACTTATGCGCACACAAACAACCATTTGTGTGTGTGTGTTTGTGCGTGCGTGTGTGTGTGCCTTGTTGTCATTTGCATGCGTTAGATGCGTTTCTGCTATTTGCACTGCTCAAAGCCATTTTAAGCGGTTTATTTTTGCGTACGCTCTCTGCACACAAATTTCTCGTTTTATTGAATTTAAGTAGCTGTTGGGCAAAGCCCACTCTTAAAGCCACGCAAATAGCACATGAAAATTTAGGAAAATTTTCATTTTCTCTTTTGGTTCTAAGAGCTGGAGAATGTTTAAGAAGTTGAAATTATGGATAGCATATTGTAACGTAAGGAAATGTGTGGTCTCTGGTGCGAACAAAGAGCGGAATATGGGAAATTCGGTTAAGTTGAGTAAATCAACCTCTTACACAATAGCTTCGACTATCATGCTTGAGACCCTTTATTCAAGGAATACCAATCGTTCGACTCTTTCCGATGCGTGTCTATTTCAATTATTGGGAAGAATCTCTCGTAATCTGAAAGCTAAGTACCAGCACTTCTCAAATAACGCTCTGCGGCTATGCTAAACAGTTTCCTTTTCTCGTTTTATTTACTTTCATTTTTTTTCTATTTTTTTTTTTCTTTTTTTGCTTTTTAATTTTGGCCGCCGTCGAAAGTCAATTGAAGTTAAAATGAGAATTGAAATGGCTAGCAATTAAAGATGATGACGCCTTCTGCAATTTGAGCTGACGCCGGATGTATTCCGCTTTCTGCTGTCGCTTGCCGCAGGCTCAAACACTTTGCATAACATTAAGCTGCCTCGATTTTTGTTGTTGGTTTTTATCATTCTGTGTTTTTTTTTTCTTTTTGTGGGTTTTGGTTTTCTGTGGTCGACCGCAGCGCCATAAAATATGCACCCGGCACTCGGCAAATTTCACAACAAAGTAAAAGGCGACGAGGCCGAGACGAATGTTGGAGTATGCAAAATGAGTAGAGGCACAGAGCAAAGCGCCTAAAAGCATATTTCAATTAAGCTATCACCTTGAATTATTCTCACGAGCCCTGCCCAACCACCCACGCACAAACACACGCTCGCATTGCCTAAAAGCAGGCCACAGTATTTTGTCTTTTTTTTTTTAATTTTAATGTTTTCATTCAAGAGCAAAAGAAGCAGAATGCGATGACGAACGGTAAAACCGCTCGTCAAAATTTGCATTTAAATGAGGCGCAGAGGCGACTGACGGACGCGCCCCGTGTGTTCGTTCACCATACACATACACAAGCATTCATCACACACACACACACACACACACCCACACACACACACTTATATTTGAACATTTTTTTGGCTGTCTTGCGAGTGGGGTGAAATTTTTATGATTGCGGTGACTGCCAAATTGTCAGTGGTTGTGCGTGAGTGGGTGGATGGGCGAGTGTGTTTGCGCCTGACTGCATAAAATGTAAATATTCATTAATATATGTAAGCGTATCTGTTTGCCTGTGTGTGCGTACGGGTCAATGCACACACACACACACACTCAATCAGTTGCGCGCTGCGAAGCCAAAAGCAAAAACAAGCTTTGGAATTTACGAAACAGTTGAGAATTTACCAACCATATAACAACAAAAAAAATCCTTAAATGACTTCGCTTTAAATTGAATTAGTTTTTTTTAAGCGAAGCTTTGGAGTTTCGGTTGCATAGAATTGAATCACTAGCCAAAGAGCTTTGCTATTTCTGGTGTCAGGAATTTTCATAAAAGCCTAGCTTGTATAAATCACAACCTCTAATAATTATATAATAGCCATAAATAGATACTTGTGTATGGTAATTATGTCAACATTTTTGCCTTGAATGTCTAAAATTTTAATTAACAAAATAATATGGGGCTTGCAAGGCTGGCAAAGGCACAGGCATTGCAAGCTCTTAGGCATGCAAAAAATTACAATTAAAATGCAAGCGCAGCCTGTAGACAAGCAAGCGACAGGCTGCACGTCTCTTCTCAGTGCATGTGTGTGTGTGATTGTGTGTGCTGTGTATGCAAAAATGCTCGCATACTGACTGGAACACACACATACACACACACACACACACACGGAGGCATGCTCTTTCGCCCCAGCAACCATTATTCGCCTCATTCATCGTCATCCTTCATCCGGCTTGTGCTTCTGCTCCAGCTTGGTTTGGCCAAAAATTTTTGGCATAAATGCCATAAACAGTTTATTTAGCAACGGAAAATTAACTGCAAAATGTAGCAACAACAAACAACAACCAACAACAAAGCTGAAGCAGTCTGACGACTGATGATGCTACCCAAGGCAGCCATTGCCACAGCCCCAAAAAAAAAAAAAGGAAGTGGAGCTCAACTCGACGCTTTATGACGTTTTACTTCATGTGCAGCTTCATAATTAAGTGGCTCCTGAGTGGGTGTGCTGGGTGATAGGGGGCAGCGGCCTGCCTGACTAGCCCAAGTAGTTGTTGTTATTGTTGTTGTTGTTGTCGTTGTCTCATGCACTCGAGGGAGCTTTTAGTTTTGAGCCACGTGAGAAGCATCAACGCTTTGGGTTTGGCTATTTGCCATAAAAACGAGCCCCAAACGAGGTCAACGGAGACCACTAAAATTCAGTGGATACACGTATATAATCGACCCTCCAAATAGGTGTAGAATTTTTATATATATGTGCATATAGCTGGGACCGTGTAGCCCGATACATACATTTGTGTGTATACATTTAGAGAGGCACATAAAAGTGTTAGCAGCTCGTTTTCTGTACTTACTAATTTGATGGCTGGTGGTATTAATGGATGATGGCAACTTACCTGAAAGAAACAAGCAAAAGAGAGAGAGGGCATGTATTAATATTAAATGTTCAGCTGAGCAGATATTCAAGTAATTGGTTTATCTTATTAGCCAGGCCATTGGGGAATGCCCAATGATGGCTAAATAAATTCAAGAGGAATTATAACTTTAATTGGAATTAAGATAATGTGGTTGAGTCCGAACATATTAAGCTTATTATATATTTATCAAGCAGCAAAAGTAGTCGAAGGCGTCTTTCATTAAGTCTTGTTAATTTTTAAGGTATTTCCTCATGAATTTACTCTATTTTATTTACTTTAAAATGCATTAAATTCTCGTTTATTTAAAGGGTTCTTTCAAATAAAGCCCTGCTGCTTCAGGCAGCAGATGCTTAAAGACGCACTTTAAAAAAATTGATTAACAGCCCTTAAAGTAGCTGAAAAAAAAACTTTATTGAGGCAGATAGAAAATACCAAAAAGAGCTAGGTAATGTGTGGGAAAGAGAGGCAGCAAAAATAAATGTCATAAAAATTCTATTTTCGTATAAAATTTCGAAAGTAATCTAATAAATATTGATTTTCATTCGTCATCGACAACGTCAACGTTGGCGACAACAGCACCAACAACATCATCAAAAGCAGCAACAGCACCAGAAGCACCAGAAGCAGCGGCAGCAGCAGCAGCAGCAGCAGCGACTGCGGCCAAGCAGGGCGCGTTGTGTAACCCTACACGTGCACACACAGAGTTATAAAGACCCTGGACACGACACGACGACCAGGGCAGGACAGCGGCAGAGACTGGCGTAGTCAATAGTCGTTATTTGATATAGTCGAATCCAACAAGCAGCCCATGATGAAACGTGCCTGGGCGGCTGACCAGTGCGACCACATATACACGCAAGGGGCAGGGGAACGTGGGACGTGGGACGACGGACAAGGGACCTGGGACAAGGGACGAGGCCGAGCGTTCCCAGCGCTGCAAGGGATGAAATCATGCGCGCAACTCGTTTTTGGAACTGAACAGCCCAGCCGTAGGGCGGCGTGTGGACGCCACACATACTACACACACACACACAAAGAGAGCACACACACACACACACACACACACACACACATACAGTTCATTCAATCATTCAAATGTCCTTTGAACTATAAAAATACATGACACTAATAAAGAAAACGAACAAATGACACGACACTCGCTACGTTCCCGGACTCCGGCCAGGCCAGGCCCGGACCTGGACCCGGAGTCGGTCACGATAAGCAAGCCAAAGACGTTGCGGGACGCCGGCGACGCTCTACAACCTAAAAAGAAAAAAAATTGCTATTTAGAGCAATTTATAAGCATACTTTGAGGCGCCCTTTCCCCACACCCCCAGCTCGACATTTGACATTTACGAGTGCGCCGCAGCGGAGACAGCGACAGCGGCAACAGAGGGTGCGGCAGGGCGGGGCGGGGGCAGATATGGAGGAGTTTCGAGTAGAGATCCTTAACCACATAAATTTCTGGTGCGCTTCCAAACGGTTTTCTGTAGCTATTTATTGCATTTTTATGTAAAATGCGCCGTGCGGTATGCTATACTTTTTCTCCCTCCCATTTCTTTACTTTTTTGGAATACTTACGAAGGCGACATTCCTGCAAAGTTGTTTACGAGGCAAAGAGCGTAATACGTAATACGTAAATCGAAAATGCCGCCCACGCAATGACCAAATTTACGCAATTAAAGACATTTTGGGGATATATTTTATGGCATACTTTACGGCCCAGTGTCTGTCTATATGTGAGTGTGTGTGTGAGTGCAGGTAGATTCGATATAAAAACAATAAAGAGAAATACGACTTAGATAATTTTACGAGGATTTAGTCGTTGTTGTCTCTAAAGTCGGGGAAATTTGTGCAAGTTAAAATGTGATTTAGTCGGGAGTGCCCGACTAGGGGCTACCCTAAACTCCAGCGAATATTTAGCTCTTTTAGGATACAGGATCGACGCGTTCAAATATTATAAGATAATTTAAGAAATGTTTAAATGCACAAATGCGATTTATTCAACTGCTTAAGTTCTAGTTTTTTTCTGAGGAAATGTAGCAGCTTATTTCGCCCTGCAGAAACAAAGCAAAGTTGGAGGTAATCTCCGTAATCTAAGCCCGACCCCTTTTCCCTTTTATCAAAATTCATGAGTTGCGAGTGCATTGTTATCGGCGCTAAAGCTCTGGCCGTTTCTACAAGTATTTTTATGCATTCGCATACATTTTCATCTATATACAAATATATTTCGTATTGCATAGTTTCTCGGCTTAATATGATTTATCAGCGCATCTGCCGAGCTGTGCACATTTTTATGACCATATGCTGGACTCCACACACACGCACACGCACACACTTCAGCATCGACAAAACCACAACAACTGCAATACACAAAGACCAACATGAACAACAAATCAAAACGTGGCACAGCGCCTAAAAAGCTGCTAAGGCCAAACAGCACGGGGCAATAAACTACATGAAAGACTGGGCCGGTGCCGGTGCCGGGCCCGGGCCCGGCCCCTGGCTCTGGCTCTAGCTGTGGCCCATGTAATCTCTGTTGACCATAAAGATTTATAGACTATTGTAGTATGTCGTTCTCAACGCTGGCATCGGCTGCGGCTTCTGCATCGCCATCGACGTCGTCGCGGTGGCCGCAGCAATGAAAAGGAAACTTTTTGCAACTTAGCGCCAAACTTTATGCAATAATTTATATATATTGGGCGCAGCAGAAAAAAAATGAAATACCAAAAAATAATAATAAAAAAAACAATAGCGAGCAACACAAAAGGCAAGACACATAAAAGACGTGACAGCAACAAAAGCAAACGTAACGCAGCTAGAAAATAAGCAAGAAGTAAAAATAAGGCTGCTGGAAAAGGGGAATGTCCTTTCAATAAATAGAAAATATAGCACCTACTTTATATGAATTGTGTTCCTCAAAATATCTAATATATTCTTGTTTGAATAACTTTTAATATTAAATCAAATTCAGCAATATGTTGTGTTTTTTTTTTTGTCAAGAATGTAGATACTTATACTTTAACTCTTACAGGATAACATATTGCCCTTGCTATCTGAACTTCAAACAGCTTACAACAGTTAATTGCAGTTACGAAATCAATCAAGTAGTCGAAACTCCCGCCACAAACAAATGAAGGGAACCAAATAAAAATAGAGAGCTGCGGCGATGCCGGCGCAATAAAAAATTAAAAACTTGCTCCTGCGATACACCTAAGCGTTGAGCATAGACTAGGGCTGAGAGAGGGAGTGTGAGGGCGAGTTTCAGAAAGAGAGAGAGGGAGAGAGGGGGAGGGAGATACAAATAGGTAGCGAGAGCGCAACATTAAACGAGAGCGGGACTTGCACGCGAACGCGCCAAGTGTAAAAGAAAAACTTTTCAATGAGTTTTTCCTGTCGGCGGCGACGGCGGCGGCGTCGGTTATGAGCCTCCAACACGCCCGCAAGCCCCTTGTGTTATTGTTGTTTGCGTTTTAAATAGACTCAAGTGTTGTTGTTGATGTTGTTGATGTTGCTGATGTTGTTGCCGAAGTTGTTGCAGTTGTTGCTGTTGCTGCCGCTTGCAGGCATTGTCTGAAGTGCGTTTCGGTTAGCTACTTTTGCCTTATTGTTGCCTGTTGGATGCTGGGCGGTTCCGTGTTGCAAAATCAATCGATAGTTAATGGAAAATCGTTATTAATGAAAAGTTTTCCGCCCGCTACCCCACTCCGCCGCCAGCCAATCGAACGTGCACTGAGCCATAGAAAAATGCTTGATAGAGTGCAGGGCGCAAAAAAAAGGAAACGAGGGAAAAACAAAAAATGAAAGGAAAAAATTGAAAGCGTAACATTTAAGTAGCAAACTTCGGAAGCGAAATATTTTTTATATTTTTTTTCCTTGTTGTGCGTAATTTCATTTGAGTGCGAAAAGTTGCACGCGAATAAAGCAGGGGCACAAAGCGAGAGGCAGACTTTTTTGTTGCATATTTCGCGGCGCATAAATATTTTATGCATGCAGGCAACAAAAGCGTCATCAAAACACACAATGGCCAAAAGAAGACTTAGCCAGCAGTTTTGTCTGCCTCGCAGTTTGTTTGCATTCGTGTATTTGTGTGTGTGTGGGTGTGTGTGTGTGTTTCGGGCGCATTTGCACCTCTACAATAAGCAAAAGTTTTGGGCCAATTTATAATGCCAGCTCCGTTTTGGCATTGTCGCCTCGCAGCGCGTCCGCCTGATTGAGCGGGCTTTTAAAAGTTTTGGTTCAATAGTCACAACAAAAGTTTAATGACAGTTTAAGTTGTTTGATAGCAACCGTCGCCCCAAGTAATGCAGAATTTTAAATGGTAAACAAGCTGCGAAGTGCCTGCTTAATATTACTTTCTGTAGCCGCGTTCTGGCAAACGCAATCGCAAAACAAATTATTGTTTATAAACTGCTCTGCAGGTCAATATAAATACATGATATATAAATAAGTTACTCAGCAAATAGAATAGAAAAGCTACATATTGCTTTGTGATTGTGTAAAATGTTTATAAAAATACGCACAGTTCCATTTGGATTGTTTAGAAATAAGTATATACATAAGAACAGCTACATATCGCTTAAGGAATGTCTAACGAGAAAGTAGGGATATTCTTGAAGATTTCATTTAATTTGCAGACATTTGTGGGAATATTGAAGATCATTTACGAGTTGGATGTTAAGCAAATATTTTGGAAAACAGAATATTTTACCTAACTACTCTTCGACCAAACTTTTGTAAGGCAAGTATATGATATATAAATCTATAAATAGTGATACAGTACGACATCCGTACTGTAACAGACAGACAAACCTAAGCAAAGTGCCTCGTCAATAGAGTTAAAACTGAGAGAATAGTTCTTAAAGAAACAGACAGGCGGACGTATAGAAAAATGTATTTAGAAAATGAATTACAAATCCAAATAAACGCATGCCCATATCTTAGGAAGAACTCGCTTCACAAAAAACAAGTAAAACAAAAATACATTCTGGCTTAGCTACTTTCTCAAGTTTTCATTGCTTGGCAATCAATTTAGCTACAAAATTCTAAACAGCGCATTTTGAAGTGCGCCTGTGATAAATGCATTATTTGCTCGTAAAAGCAGGGCCAATGCAATTTTAGTTTAGATTCGGTAACCAAAATGTTTATAGTTGGGTCACGCAGCGTTTTATGATCATTGCGAATGCCATAAATAAATACACACGCACACTCACACGGAGGCCCAATGTAAAACTTTTAACGTTTTTGTAATCACATCAGACCGAGAGAAGCGGGCGAAATGCGTTGCATACTTTTCGGCTGATGTTGATGCTGATTTATTGCAACAACAAAGTTTATCATGCATATTTTATGCGTGTAAATGTTGCCGTCATAAAATGTCTTAAAGGCTGAGCCGCACACTCAACACACACACACCCACACACACACACACACAAACACACATTTGCCCTCCATTTGGCCGCCGACTGACGCATGTGCGTGGTCGAAAGCCTGGCCGGCTTTTTATGCGTACGAGTTGTAATGGCGGCCAATAAAGCAGCCATTCAATGCAGCAAATTGGCATTTTATTAGCGCTACATGCGCCGCACTCCTTTGCCACTGTCCCCCACACCCACAGCCCTCTCCCCACCCTTTCCCTAAACACGCGCACTAATTTGCGCGCCCTACGCGTATGTCATAATAAAAAGCGAGCATTGAAAACTTTTAACAAACGACAAAATTCGAGTCAAAGGCACCCATATAACCAATACGACTCGACACGAATCGACACGACACTCCGCATCGATCGATATATATTTAGCCAAAAGGATGTCGTTCCAAAGTTGTATTCGTCCCGGCTGGGTTTGGGCAACGTTTTGAGGTCGTCGCGTCCGCGTCCGCGTCCGTGTCCGCGTTTGCGACTGCTTCGCATCTAAGGCATAACTCAAAGTTTACTCAAGTTACTTGCGCCCAACGACAAGACACAAAACTTTGTACTTTACATCATTAAAAAGTTTCATTCTTTCTTTGCGTTTTCTCAACGGTTTCTGCTTTGCTTTTTCTCTTTTCTTTATTTTTTTTATTTTTTTCTTGTGCAGTCTCAGCTCCTTTCTATAGCTGGCAACTTTCAATCTAAGTACATCTATAGACTGGGTTAAGCACCGACTGTG